AGTCAGTGGGACACAGTTGGCTCAGATCCAAAGCATTTGGCTTTGCTAGCTGAGAACTGAACTGCTCAGATTTTTCTCCTACCTTAGGTTGCCATGTTTTTACTCACAGTGATTAAAGCTGCAATCTTAGACCCTGTGACCAGGAGGAAGTCCCACTGCATTCAGTGGCACTGTCTTCTGAACTGTTGTTGTTGCATTGCATTTATATGCAACCTTCTTCCCTCTTGTGAGGAACACAGGGAGCTTACCTAGCCCCATTTAATCCTCACAACAACAACAACAACCCTGTGAGGTAGGTTAGGCTGAGAGTAAGTGGGTGGCTGAAAGTCATCCAGTTAGGTCCGTGGTTGCATGGGGACTAGAACCCAGATCTCCTGGATCCCCAGGACATCACACCCATCACAGTGCACTGGCTCTCAGTAGGGATGAACAAGGAGATACAGAACCATTAAGTTTAATTCAGATTCTTATTTTTTCCCAACTATCCCATCCTGCATCTGCATTGTTTATTCTTTTTTAAAGTCCATGTGAGAAAACATGCATATTTTCCTTCTCATTTCTCCTGGTATGTGCATTTTTGTTCAGAGGCATGCTTTGTAAGCCATATTCGCTATTGCAGTGCAGTTTTGGGGGCACTTTCCTTAAAACACATTTTGTGCGCGCACATCCGCTTGTTATATGCATACCTGTGCACAATTTTTTATTTGAAAACTGGCATCACAAAATGTGGAAATATGCCCATATTACCATATCCCTGTATTCCAGGCCCAAGTTCAGCAACGCCAATTGATGAGTTCATATTAATATGCAAAGTGAACCAATTATTCCCCCTTTCCTGCTTCTAGATGTATACAGGATTGCCTTCTCAGTGCAGTTGCCAGAAAAGGAAGAATACTGGTCTTTCTGTAGAAGGGCCTCCTTAGTGGTGGCACCCGTGTCCTGAAACAATCTTCCACATAGGGCCAAAAAGGCAGACACTGTGACCAGTTGGAAATGTCCCTTGAAAACACACCTCTTCACACTGGCTTTTCCTGACCTGTGAGGAAAGCTGTTGCTACCCCATTTTGCTGTTATGATGATGCCATGTTTTTTAAGTATTCATAGGGCACAAACTTCTGGCACCCCCACCATGTATGGTGGGAAGGGGGGAATAGGATTGCTGGGATTCCCAGCTCCAGCCTCAGAAAACAACCTGAGGTTAGGGCTGGGACTCTGCTCTCAGGGGTCCCTCCCTCCCTCCCTCCCTCCGGCATTGCTGGGGATGTGTTTCTTTCCATGCCAGCTGGATTCTGAAGACAGAAGACTGTCTCGGGTGCCCATGCAGGGCCAGGCATTCCAGAGGTGGGGAGACAAAGAAGGAGCCTCTGGGAAATCCCTGCAGTGCCTCAGACTCCTTGCATGAGCAGGGGGAAAACATGGTCTAGACATCAGCTGTCTAAATGGTTATCAGGCAGGAGGATACTTCTGTGCTTCTCCCACCTTCCATTGCATGTCTGTAACCATAGAGGTCAGGTAATTATGTCAGTAACCGTAGAATTCAGATAATCATGGGTAGCTACACTGGATGAGGTCCTGAACTGCATTTAGTGATTGATTATTTTATCCTGTCTCTATACTGTTCTTTTCTACTTTAATGTGTAAACCACTTAGAGATTTTAATATATTAAGTGGTATGCAGTAGCAATAAAGCTGTTGTCAGCATAGAAATGCAGGGCAATCTTCATGACTTTAGCTTCATCTCTACTAGTAACATCACATTTCCCCAACCAAGATGCCCACAACCCCTTTGGCACACAATGAACATAGCACAATAAAAACAAATTGGGTTCCAAATTCTATTGCATTAATGGAGCTATTATTTTTGAATGCATAGAAAATGCCACACTTTATGGCACTTCATTTTACATTGCTTTAATGAAATACATCCATTCCTTCTCTAACTATGCATGTCCTCCCTGATTGTGTTCCAGCCATGACTGCCCCTTTCGGACCGTTGTGTCAGCAGAAGTTGCATTGCATCCATGTAAGGATGGTGAGATCCATAATCAAAGGCAATCGTAGAAGCTCTAAACCGCTGGTGCAATGATTATTTTGCATTTTCTGATGATGCTTTTCTTCTTCATACATTCAGTTTTAATGCTGTGGGTTTCCATTAATCACTACCAGCGATTATGCCAGGGGTGTCCTGGAATCCCCTTTAAGAAAAAAGAAGCTGGCTATACAGTCGTTGTTTCGCATGGAAGAGTTCGTGGGCACCACCTACTGGTTGGACTGAGGTACTACAAAGAATTGTATACTACATGACTGTTTCCTCCAAAAAAAGATGGGTTATCCAGTCTGCCCTGGATATTTAGTCCATTTGTGGCTCTTCGATGAATCCTATTCTTAACCACCATGTAACCTGCATTTCTTATCATGTCATTTTCTGCAAGCAGGAACACAGACAAGGAAATACACATACATTAACAACGCAGACAAGAGTGTTACCCATCCGCCTCTCTTAGCGGCTTCTTCTGCTGGCTTCCTACCACAAAATTCCCACACCTAGAAGAAAAAGCTGCCCTCTGGTCCTGTCCTTTGAGAAAGGACAAATAAAGAAGCACCAGGATGTTGCAAACCATGAGACATTTTAAAAGAAGTTTAGGAAAAGGCATTTTGCCTCCAGGGAAGTTATGATCATCAGCACACAGTAATGGTCACACAAGAGCCAGCTAGCCGTATGGCTGTATTTGTGTACGTGTGTGTGTGTGTGCGTGTGTGGGGGGCAGGGTGTCCCCTCTCTGGAAGTCTTCAAGGAGAGGTGGAGTTGCTTCAGATTCAGGCTCTGGATTTCCCAAATCAGGTCATTCGCGCAAGCCCTCTTCCTTCCAACATTGTAATTCTTTGGCTGTGTCCATTGGCACAATGGTGAATGTAGCCCAGTCTACGGTCTTTCCTGAAGGTGGCACAGGGGAGGCAGAACTCACAGGGACATGGTGCTGGCACTGTTTAATTAGCAGGGTTTTTTGTGACAACATCGGCACCACCCCTGGGAATTTCTGGCTACCTCTGAGCATAGCTGCAGGTCCCACACTAGCAGGGTGGGAATAGGTTTTTCCAGCAACAGTGACTTGGTTCGGACAATCACTGCAGCCCACTCTGGCTTATTCTCTATGATGAACTGTGGGGCCCATGGGCTCCCAGTGGGCAATCCCCATGATGGGCAAATCTGAGGGGAGGGGAGTTGTCGGGGTGGTTAAAAAGTCACCCAGAACCCATGAACTGTTTAGGTCTAAACCATCCTAACCATCTATACTTGCTGGGTTTGCATGAAATGAGAGGCCATGGCATTCCCCTGCCCCCACCCAATTAGCATGCTGGATGTTCAAAATGGTGATTGCCACTGCAATAAGAAGCCCTGTGAGGAATGCAGCCATGCTGGCTTCTCATTAAATGCACAGTATGTCATTTGTCGTGATACAATAGCAGGTATTTTGGTGTGGCCAGGTTCTGAATGAACAATGCATTAGGTTTGCAAAATATTGTTCCGGGGGAAATTGAAGGTGCTAGAATGGATTTGTTGACATGGATTAACACAGCTGTTGGCATTTTTTTGCTTCTCCTTGGCCGTGTGGCTGTGGGACTACCAGGATGAGTCCCTGCTCTCCCAAATGTACCACCAGTGCTTTCCTGTGGGGGCCGCCCATGGTCTAAGCACTGATGCACACCAAGTGCGGTGAATGACTGCCATCATTCTCCCTACAATCCGTGGTTCGAGGCTGGCTTGGAGGAGGCCGGGAGGTTGTTCCGAGGAGCTGTAATTAAGTGGAGAGGCTGGAGGTGGGGAGAAGAAGCAAAAGTGGGGAAAAGGAGGTTGCAACGGCAGAGCAGTGCAGGTGACACACCTCGCGTAGCAACGACTATGTTGCCTTCAAGGCAGGAAATGATACAATTCCAGATAGGCACCAGTGAGGCATGTGCTTGGAAACGTTCCCCCTTCATGCATGCACACACAGGTACACACTCCCCAGGCTTATTTTGACTTGCTGGCTTTCTTTCTGATGACATCGGCTCCAAAGCCGATCTACTCTTGTTTCTGACAGAGGCCAACCAGATGCCTGTGGGAAGTCTGCAGGCGGAACATGCGGGTGAGAGCGCCCTCCCACAGCCATTCCATGTCGGCGGGACTTCGGTGGCACGGCACCTTTGATCCCCGAGACAGCATGCAGCCCCTGTGGCTAGAAGCCATTGACAGCTTCATCCTTCACGTGTGTGTCTAATCCCTTTTTAAAGCTGGCGGCCCTCGCCACGTCTCAGTGCAGTGGATTTCATAGTTTAACCATGTCCTGCTTGAAGATGTGCTTTCTTCTCTCCTGAATCTTCACCACTCCATTTCATGGCATTTTTCTTTTAAAAAGGAGGAAAATAAGAATAACAAAGAGCTCCTCTTTCGGCTTTCATGTCCTCAGTAGGCAGCAGCCCTGGAAAGCCCCAAGGAAGGAAGTCCTGGCTAAGTCGGCTGGGTGCTTTCCAAGAAGCTCAATCATAGAGGAGAGAGCAGGGGGGAAATAGGAAAAGAAAGACCACCCCACACACACTTGGCCACCCTGCTACAGTACGCTGCACACTGAAGCCTGGCACCCAGAGAAATTTCTCCAACATTCTCGCTCCTTCACACTCTTAGTGGGTGCATTTTCTTTTCACCTCTCTCCACTAACGAATGGTTCTTAATAAATAGATGGGAAAATGTGGTGTTGTGCTGGTTTTAGTATTATGAGACAAGGAGAAAAAATAAAGCAAGCATAAATGGTAAGAACGGGCGTCCATTTGCATTTAAATCCATTTGTACATTGCCCAGTTTCTGAGTTTCATGCTGGCATTTTCAAGACTCTGAAGCTGGAATGGGAAGTGCGTTGGAACAAGTCTCACCTTTCCTCCCTCCCCGTTTGTCCCACTTTCCTTCTCCATACGTGAAGCACAGCCCTCTCCCTGCTGCACAATTCAGCACCGGCAATACTTACTCATGCAGTCCCCTCCATACCAGCCAGCTCTGCATTCAGCACAATAGATGCCCTTGACGTAGAAGTTGTCTAGCGTTCCTCCCCAGGAGCCATTGCGGCAGGACTTGCAGTTTTCAAAGATCATGCAGCCTGCAAACAGAGGAAGCCCACTGAGTTGACAGGAGCCTGCATTCAGCTTTCCTGTACAGGAAAGGATGTCCATTCCAACTGGCCTTCGGCTAAAATATTTGTGTCTTTGTGGAGCAAAAGACCCCCTGCTGGATTAAACCAAAGATCCATGCAGTCCAGCACTATGCTGACACAGCGGTCAAGCAGCCACTCTTGGAATCCCACAAGCAGGACATGAATGCTAAAACACCAACCCACCCAGGTTTCCTAGCCACTGGTGTACATAGGTGCATTGCCACTGATACTGGAGGTACATACCGGAGGCGATGGAGAATATCTCTGGTGTCATTTCACCAAACATGGCTTGAAGAAGTGTTCTGGGCAATGTGCGTGTGAGTGCATGTATGTGTGCGTGTAGATATACATTGTACATTCTCTTGTACATTGTACATTGTCTCATTGCCTTGGGGGGTGCACAGGATTATTCAGGGCCCCACTCCAAGGTACCTCAATCTTGCTCTGAGCAAGACCCTCTCGCCTCCCTCACAACTAGCATGAAAAGAATGGTAGAGGTTGCCTTTTCATAGTCACAGATCATTCTTGGAGAGAAGAGAAAGGGCACACTGGGAGGCATGAAGAGGAAGAGGAGGAGGAAGGAGTTGGGGCTGACAACTTATGCCCCGTCCACCTGAAAATGGCCACCTAGATAAAATGTAGGGGGCAAGGCACAGGGCAGCACAAATCACCACCACAACTCATGCTAGCCTTGGGACAAAACTCAACAGAATCCCTCTAACATTTATTCGCAGACTTCCTCCTGTGGTCAGCCTGGTCTTGGAAAGTTAGCTGAACTGAGAGAAAGTCCGCAAACACTTGCAGAAAGAAGGTTGCATGACCAGCAAGTGTCAGAAGCAGCAGCACAAAGACTGGTGTGCATGGTGTGGAAAGGGGATGCTGCTTGTGTAGCATATCGTACACTTGCCAGGAGCTCAGGCTCAGGGGCATGACAAAGGGGACCAAAGCCCAGGGAGTTGAGCCCCAGGCGTCCAAAAGATTCCCAGACAGAATCCTCATGCATCCCTAACTCACTGGATGCACATAGGCCTTTGAGTTTAGCAGTTTATGGGCACTGAGGGTGGGGAGGCATATTTGCCCTCCCACCCCTTGAGATCAGCAGCAGAGCTCTCCTCCGGGAGCCTTCTGTGAGAGATATCAGGAAGCCAAGTACCCGGAGGAGGGCTTTCTCTGCGGTGGCGCCCCATCTGTGGCATGCGCTCCCCAGAGAGGTCCGCCTGGTGCCATTGTTATTTGTTTTTCGGCGCCAGGCCAAGACCTTTTTATTCAAACAGTATTTTAATATGTTTAATATTTATAGATTTTAATTGTGCAGCCAGTGTGTCTCTGGGTTTTAATTGTAATTGTTTTGTATGTATTTATTTCTGTGAGCCGTCCTGAGGCTATGTAGCAAGGGGGAGGCATATAAAAACTTTAATAAATAAATAAATAAATAAATAAATAAATAAATAAATAAATTACATTGTACCCTGAAACACCATCAAGCACAATGTTTCTGCAGGACAGCAAGAAAAGGGAATAAAAGACAGAAAATCTGGTGATTACTTATCAGCTTTTCTACCCATGAATTTATCTTTAGTTGATGGTGTGACCTTCCAGTTTTGATTGTGTGTCTAAAGAGCTCTTTTCCTGAATTTTTTAGACCAGGGAAAATGTGTTATTTACTTATAAAATGAAAGGAAATGCTATTTCCACTTGTGCATTTGTACGATTCTGCTATACCACTGTCATCTAGAGGTTATGCAATGAAAAAGAAGGAAAGCAAATAATATCATGCAGTGCTCAGATCTCAATTCTGTGATCAATATGAAAGTGGATACAGCCAATGAACTGCCTCAGGCACAAGAGCTTTACATATTCTTATAGCACCTTGGCCTTAAAGCCATGAGACAGACTCTTCCCTGAAATCTGCTAGTTGGACAAAAGCAGGAAGGTTGGACAAAAGCCTATCTAACTTTTCCCCCATGCTATTTTCCAGTCAAGATTGTCTGTGTCTCCCCACCGAGCCAGTGGATGTAAGATCCATGGGAGAAAATTTGAAAAGTACTTTAATAATCACCCCCAATCCCTGCAAGCAAACTGCAACTTGTAGAAATGATTCTGACTAAGACAATGACATGGGCCACTGTACCAAATGAACTAGCAAACCTTAGGAAGGGCTTGCATTTTATTACCAAAGAAAAAAATGCTGGAAAATGCAATTATGGCTCTCTAATGCAAGTTGTTTGGTCCATCCAGGACATGACCAAATAAGCTGTTCAACAACCATATCAGCACCATACTTCCTTTAAGTAAAAACTTCTTTTGGGCATTTGGACATTCCCCTGAGACAGTACAGACAAAAATTCAGGTGCAAGGTAATCCATTGGGATTCCTCCCTTACAGGAGTAAATTCATCATCATCCCACTGGCTGTTTCGTCCTTGCCCCCTTGTCTTTATTTTTCTCATATTTCTTTCCCGAGTCTGAACTCAGCAACTTGATTCCTATTTCTATTTTTTAAAATCAGGCAGTGTGCAAACCAGGCCTTGGAGACCAAGGAGCTAAAATCCCGATCTCCTCCTGAAGCCAAGGATGACTTTACCCTCTGGAGGGCTTCCAGGCATGCATGGTAAAATCCTGGAAACTTTCAGGCTCCTGGTGTGAGTTTCTATTACTAGAAAGGAGGACATGCTCACGGCAATGTGCTAAATGCATTAACTCTCATCAGCGGAGTGAGCCATTTGTGTTGGCACCCACCCATCTCTGAAGAGAAAAAAAATCCATCATCAGTCTGGCAGACAAAAAAGGCCACATGCTCCCCTGAGCCGCCAGCAGGGTGCTCGCCTGCCCACACAGCAGAGTGATTCATGACTAGCATGAATGCTCAATGGGGGGGATGCGTCAGGGCGATCAATCAACATACCTGGGTGGATTAGACAGGAGTCGCACTCATTGTCCTCATTCCTGCAGCAGGGGATGGTGTAACCCACAACTTCTTTCGTGTGCCCGGGACACACACACTTGATCTGGTCATACTCACAACACTCTCGGCACATGATATTCCATTCAGCTCCTGGGCAGTTTTCATTGATCACTGTATACCCTGCAGAAAACCAAAATGAGAGGTAAGGAGAAAGGAAATAACTGCATATTGATGGAGCAGAATCTATTCTATTGTGGGCCAATCTGCAGATTATGTTGAACTTCTGTGGTTGGATGTACTAATGTTTTCTTTCTGAATGAAAGTAGGTTATGAGGGTTGTCAATTCGACAAGAGCAGGCGGATGGGGATATCTGACCTTTTCCCCCTGCTATTGTTCAATCAAGATTGCCTGTATCTCCTGACTCACCCAGTGCTTGTAACACCCATGGGAGAAAAAAATCAAAAGGTACCAAGTGAACCATCAGCTCTTAGGCAGGGGTTTCATTTTACTACCAAAGAAAATGCTGAGAGATGCAATCATGGCTTTCTCATGCAACTCCTTGTTTGGTCCTTAGCCAGGGTTGCAATCTTCCATGAGTTGCTTGCCATTTCTCCAGCATGTGCTCCTGGCTTACAAGCTCTACTCATTCCTGGATGATCAGAAGAATTCATTCCTGGATGAATTCAGAAGAATTTTCCCCAAATCAGATTAGCTAATAGCATGGGCAACTTAAGGCAGTGGTGATCTCCCATAAACCACACTCAGCACTGCCAACGGTCATGGATTATAAAAGTTATAATCCAAAGCATATGGCAGGCACCAAACTGCCTGTCTCTGACAGATTATACTTTATTGGAGCAGGAAGTTTAAATCTTCTACAGTTGATTGTTTTGTCTGATACAAGGAATTCCCACCCATTTTAGTAGACTTTGTGCAGAAGATGTCCATTCAAAATTGTCATGCCAATTCTCAAATTGTTTTTCTAAAGTGACAAAGTCCCCACATGAGATTTGATCCCACATGGCACTGAAAACTCTCCTCATGTGGAGATAGCTGATATTTATCACAATAGCACAGATATGTGCTAGATTTTTTTTTCTCTTGATATGGTTAAGTCCATCTTGTATCACCATGGCACAACATAAAACAGCTTCTTTGGGTTGAAAATTACAAGGAGTTCAATAAAAATCATATAGTCCCCAGCTTTTCATGTCAACAAGACTGCATAATAAGCAAGTTATTTTGCCAGTATAAGTACACTTTCAGAAGACTTTGTGAGGAATAAAACACACATGGAAAGAACGCTTTTTTATATTTAAGGAAACCACTTGGGAGCCTAATTCATGTGGTCCAGGGGTGGACAATTTGTGTCCCTACAAGTTATTACTACTCTCAACTGCTCTAGCCAGCCTAGCCAATGGTGAGGGATGACAGAAACAATCGTCCAATTGCATCTGGAAAGACAAGTTGTCCACCCAGAGTCAAATATCTCAGGTTGAAACTATTGGCCTTTTGACACAGAATCTGGTACCTGATCCAAGTATTATTTTCTCCTCATCAGCACACCATAGAAGCACTGGGACACGTCATCCCTACAAATCCCCATGGTCTTTAGCCTTGTTTCAACAGAGGTAGAATTCAGGAGTTTGTTGCGAAGCAGGCAGAGTACTTTGCTCATAGAATCACTATTTCTGCCTCTTGAAACAGAAGGATTGTGGGAATCCTTCAGTGATGAAACAAAGATCCAAAGATCCAATGACCTTCTAGTGCAATTCCTTCCAACTTGTAACTCAGGCAGTTCAAACCAGAGGTTTGTTAAGTCTCTCATGGACACCATATATAGCTGTGGGCTACATTTGTCTTGATATGTAATGAGTTATGCAGACTTCTACTAGAAGGTAACTTGGATGTATCATTAAGTGTCATATCTCAAACATGTTCCACATATCTTCAAACCATGTTCTTGTTCTGAAAGGCTATCATCTGGTTTGTGAAAGGATGTAGCAATGAAAAAATATGTGCTGGTAATGGTACCCTAGAAATATTTGGTACACTTTATGTAGCTTAGGTGCATCAAGCACACAGCTCCCTAAATTATAGCATGCAGCATTTATTCAGAGAGCATTTTAAAATATAGCCTTGACATGAGCTGTGTTTGGTTAATGCTGATCACTCAATTTAAGAATGTCCACCAGGAGAGGACAAATGCACATTCACTTCCAGCTTATACGTAGTATTTGTGATTTCATTTGATCAGTATGATACACTTTGGGTAGAATCCCACAAACACAATGGAACCTGCCTCCTCTCTCCTCTTCTTCAGCTCCTGGAGGGGACCCATCAGTCCCGGGCAGATGTTAAGGACATATGGGAGTTTTCAGGGACAAGACAAAATTCCCCCTTCTGGCTTTACTGATGGTTCTGGTTCTCTATGTCCATGGAGAACATCATTGAATTCCACTCATTATTAGTGCCAGCTGATAGATCAAGGTGCAGTCCTACAGTTGCCAAACACTATCTAGATGGCCATAGTGTAATTCAAGAGCTGAAGCTGTGAATTTGGAGCATCTTTCATTTGCCCCTGCAGGTCTTTCTCTGCTGGCTGTGGCTCCAGGTTTGCAAGACCAACTTTGGAGCCAATGTTGGCAGGATATTCCAGGGGATTAAGGAGGGCCGGAGTGAGGCAGCACTTTTCTAGGAAGAAGTCTGGTGGTACCTCCTCTCCTTATGAGCTCATGTAGAACTCTTAGATAGCTAATCTAATTGATTGGAGGGTGGGAAGATTCTCAGGGCAATCCTCACCTAGGCGGTGCTGCCACCCGCCAATTTGGAGAGTTATGGACAGTCACATTGGATGACACTGCCAAAAATCAAATAAAGATTGAATTAAGATGTTGCTGTTACAGTCTTGTTATCCCCAGCACCACCACCACTTTGTCCCATTTTCCTCAGTGGCTATGTTCACGTGTAATGCTAAACCAGCCCAGGTGGTTCCTGTATGACATGGATTCTTACCTAAGTAATGCTGTCAGATGGTCACATAGTGTCTACTCATGCATGGTTTGGACCCTCCTCTCTCAATCTTCCCACTGGAGGCATGTATCCCATCAGCCTCCATGGCTGAAATTTGTTCCCAGGGTGCACTACTGCTGACTATGTTGCCAGCCTCTTCCTGCATATAGAGGCTGGATGGCTAAAGTTACTCCTGCAATCGCTGCTCTTTCCATGCTATGATAGCCACATTTTGGGATTTAGATGACCAAACAAGCCATGGGGAAGCATGGAGTGCATACAACAAACAGTTGTTTCTCTCCATGGTTCATCAAAAACTAAACATACCATGTGATAAGTCCAAAATAAGGTTCAGACAACCATCCTTCAATGGAAATTACCAAGCCTTGTTGCTGTGTATGAACCCTGAGTCTGTGTTTAACCATCATGCCTGGTCAAGAGGTTGGAGAATTCAAAAGTGTGCATGGTGTGCTGCAAGCTTTGGGTTAGCCTGTTGCTGTAATATTCATTTTGAAGCCCTTATATTGTTTATTATCTTCCTAATGTTTTGTCTGTTTGGGATTATAGCTACTAATACCATAATTACTATTATCATCACCATCACCATCATCATGAACACTATAAAATAAATGTTACAGAAAACACTTGATGGTGTGGTAGGCCTTAAAAGTAAGTTCCACTGAATTAAATGGAGCTTGCTTTCAGGTAAGTGGCCCTAGGTTTGCAGCCTAACGTTTTCCAGCAGGCAAGCAGGCAAACCCTGGCAGTTCCTCATTTTAAAAGAAAAAGAAGAAAAGCAGGTTGAAACATTGAACACTGTTGCTGTCAGCTAAGAGAGTAATTCTGCAGATCCCCTCTTTCTTCACTGGTATGCTGTCTGCATTCAGCAACTTGAAATTTAATGAGCTGACAAAGCTGTCAGAGTGTCCCTCAACCAAGAGGCAGAACTAAGGACTGCTTTGAGGAGCCTGGAGATAGGAAACAAAAGGAAAGCTTCCACAGAAAGAAATATAATGAGTTTGTGCTTTATTTTTTCTGCAAAAGCCAAACCTGTTTTAATAGAGTGTAACAAAGCCATTTTAACCTGGCTTGGTTTTGTTTGTTTTGCACTATTTAGTGCCACATCCTGACAAAATTGGGCACCAAGTCATGGTGAAATCAGTGAAATTTGTATTTTATTTTATTTCACTTCTATGCCACCCCATGGTCCAGAGGACTAAGAAGCATATAGATAAGCAATAAAATATCCATATTTCAATAAAACCAGTGCAACAACAACCACCTACAGTGACTATAATCAAGTCTGACACATGGCACAACAGCAATAATGGTAAAAACCAAATTAACGGTAACAATTATCTATTAAAATATCTGGAAAATAAAAAGGGTTTTACCTGGAGCCAAAAAGGAAAAAAGAGATGGTAGCTGGCATAGCCCCTTGAGCAGTTGAGGTACCATCACTGAGAAGGCCCTTTTCCTGGTTACCAGCCCCCTTACTTCTTTTGGGGGAGGTTCCCTAAGAAGGACCTCAAAGGAAGATCCTAGGGCCCAGGTAGGAATACATGGAAAAGGCGTTCCTTCAGACCCAAAACTCTTTAGGGATTTAAATGTTAAAGCTAGCACTTTGAATCAGATCTGGACTTCAACTGGTAGCCAGTGCAGCTGAGAGAAGACTGGCATAATATGTTCTTGTGAGCCAGTCCCCATTAACAGCCACACTGCCCTATTCTGAGTCAGAGGAAGCTTCTGGAATGCATTCAAAGGCAGCCCCACATAGAGTGCATTACAGTAATCTAAAGAAGAGGTTACCAGAGTGTGGATTGCTGTAGCCTGGTAGGGTACACAGTTGGTAAAGCTTTTGTAGTCAGATACTCTACAGATAGGGCGGTGGTTGGTAAATCAGCCTAAGCTGATAGAAGGTGCTCTGTGGCACTGAGTCCACTTTTGATTCAAGCAATAATTCTGGGTCCAGGAGCACCCCCAAACTACGAACCTGGTCCTGGTGGGAGTGCAACCCCATCCTGGGCAGGTTGAATATCTCCCAACTGGAGTGGACAGACACTCCTCCCATGAGCAGCGCTTCTGTCTTGTCTGGGCTGCACTCCCGTCTCTCTCCCAGTAAAAATCTCTGTCCCAAATCCAGGCCTGGAGCCTGATTGAAATGGAG